CTTTCACTTCATCATCCCGCCAGGCAACCCTTGTGCTTCTTTTGGTTAGTGCCACATTTCTATGGCAATGACACGTTATTCTTTTCACTCTGTTCCAATAAGCTTCTGTAACATCTTTTTATGACCATTTTCTGTTTAATCCTTTGGGAGGTTAATTAATACAGGTAGCCCTCAATTTATGACAACAATTGGGCTCAACATTTCTGTTGCTAAGCAACACATTTGTTAAGTGAATTTTGCCTCATTTTACAACCTTTTTTGCTACAGTTATTACGTGAATGACTACAGTTGTTACGTTAGTAACGTGGTTGTTAAGTGAATCTGGCTCCCCCATTGACTTTGCTTGTCAGAAGGTTGCAAAAGGGGATCACAGGACCCCAGGACAGTGCAACTGTCATAAATATGAGTCAGTTGTTAAGCGTCTGAATTTTGATCATGTGACCATGGGGATGCAGCAACGGTTGTTAGTGTGAAAAATGATCATGTCACTTTTTCAGTGTCGTAACTTTGAAGGCTCACTAAATGAACGGCTGTAACTTGAGGACTACCTGTATTTTAATTTTTTTTATATAGAGGAGTTAGGCATATTTCAGTCAATTGGCCACAGGTATTAATGAAGCCAAGTCTGATTCCAAGTATGTTTCATTATTTTTTCCAAGCTAAAATCTCTAGAGATTATCTTGCAAGGCAACACACAGTTGCTCACAATCCACTTCTTAGGAAGTACTGTACATGCAACATACTGATTATTGCTAGAACCAAATGTTGCATTATTACCTATTTCATCTGAAAACTGCTGGTCAATAAACAATAAAACATACTTTAGATGAAATAGCTTTTAAAAATGCATGATATGCATGTTTGCTGTTTTATGTTATCATGATTATTGATCTATGGCAGCAATAAAATAATAATAGTCTTACTTTTTAAATAATAGAGCAGATTCAGAGAGGAACCAAAGTCAAAACATTTGTTGACAGTATGGAATGTTCTTATGTGACACACTGGCCCTGTGGAGCTATTCCACATTTTGGTTTCTTAAGGGATTTTTTTTTTAGGAGTATCAGAAATCAAAGCACTAGAAGCAAATTCATATTAGATATTTAAGTTAGCAATATCTGAACCCTAAGTACGCTTAGTAAATAAGTAAAATAGAGGCACATTAAATTGCTGGTCACCAGCAGACAAAAAAAGATGGAAACCAGATATCAATTTAAAACAGAATTGTAACCAAAGTTTAAATGTATGTATGGTCAGAGATGCAAATACACTTCAAAATAAGAGCCGAGGTGGCGTAGCAGTTAGTGTGCAGTACTGCAGGCCACTTTAGCTAACTGTGTTCAGCAGGTCAGCGGTTCAAATCTCACTGGCTTAAGGTTGACTCGGCCTTCCATCCTTCCGGGGTAGGTAAAATGAGGACCCAGATTGTTGGGGGCAATGTAAATAAATATATATACATTGCTTACTGGTGTACACCGCTTAGAGAGTGCTTGCACTTAAAGCGGTATATAAGTCTCATAAATAAATAAATAAATAAAATAAAAAATATTAGAAAGCATAAATGCAGGGAAATGGTGAAATGTGATTTCCGATGGCCTCTCTCTTGTGTTTTAAGCTTCCTCATACAAGAAAGTTTTAACCTTTGAATCTACAGTTGGGAAATCATAATGCATAAGCATGCAAAGCAGTTATCAAGGTGAGCATAGGTTCTGAATGCATAGCAAGCGGTTGACAATATTCAACTATATAAGAAAAGCAATGTACACTTTGGGTTGCAGTCAGAACTATGAAGATTACACTTCGGACATTGCTGTGTCATTTATGACATCAATTGTGAAACTGGGTTTGAATGGTTAAATATGACTTCTTTCATAACTGGACTCACACATTGTGTAAGTCATGAGTGATTTGATATTGGCTTAGAATGTTATGTGACTCCGTTGCTTGTCTTTGAAAACTATGGTGTAGCATTATGAGTGAACTCAGGTAATAGGGTGGAAAAAACCCAGTCTTGTCTGATGCCTGAATCCATTCTTTGCATTGAATAAGATCTCTTCCTCAATTTCAACCTTACTCCTATTTACATGATACAACATGATGTAGCTAGCCAGGAATAGGTTTGGGGCCAGCATCTGCTTATTTGCTAGACTGGTTGTTTTTGATCTTCTTTTGTTGTAAGAACTGAGAAGTTATAATAGCTAGATACTTATGGAGGAGAAATACATTATATCTATTACAGAACTTGGAATACTGTAGAGGATAACACTTTCTTTCATCTCCTTACCCTTCCCATGACCAATGACATTTTGTTTTTAATAATGTACCTACGTTTGAATAAAAGCTCAAACTAAGAGCTGAAAATTTCAATTGAAATGAGACTGGAAAAAAAACTCTCCAACAAGATATGATGAAAGAGCCAGTTATATTTATTCAGGATATCGATGTGAATGTCCAAGAAATCAAGATGGTGGACACAACTACGTGACTGGAGCCTCATCATTTTAATGTTTGTTGTGACCCTCCAGGTTGTAGCTGCCATCTTGACCACTGTGCCAACACCCCTGCACTTAGTAGATCATCTAGATCAGGGGTAGGCAACCTTGGCTCTTTTATGACTCGTGGACTTCAACTCCCAGAATTCCTGAGCCAGCCATGAAGTCCATGAGTCATAAAAGAGCCAAGGTTGCCTACCCCTGATCTAGAGTCATCACCCTCCCTCCATTCACATAGGGCAGTGATGGCAAACCTTTTAGAGACCGAATGCCCAAACTGCAACCCAAAACCCATTTATGCATTGCCGGGTGGGTGTGGCCCATGGCCCATTGGGTGGCCGTGGCTACGGTGGTAATGGCAAACTGGGTGGGACTAAAAAGTTCAATCAATCAATTCCAACTTTGCAAGATCTTTTTTTCCCGTGAGAAGTTGAAACTGACTGATTGATTGAACCTTTTTGGGGGGGGGGACATGGCGACGGAGGCCTAAAGCGAAAAGGTTTTATAAAACCCAGCTGAAGGCCTAGGACTGGGGCGACGGCGCGCGTGCCCACAGAGAGGGCTCTGAGTGCCGCCTCTGGCACCCGTGCCATAAGTTCGCCACCACTGACATAGGGGCTATTCTCCCCTCGTAAACAATAAAACTAAAGATTCCACTGAGTCAACCTCAGTTCCTGTGACTTTATGAACACATCTAAAGGGATGGGATGGAATTTAAAGATTTTCTCCCTACTGCCTCATCCTGGAATTGTGGTTTGTCATCTGGGTACAGACTAGACCTTCTTAGTTTGTTTTAAGACTGCACGTGTCAACTCCCTGTATAAAACCTATGTTAATTTTAATCTGGTCATGAAGTTCAAATCCTTCTTTATTCACAGCCAAATCCCTCTTTATTCACAGCCAAAGCCTCGGAGAAGGGCCTTTTCTGTGGTGGCTCCGACATGGTGGAATCAACTTCCCCCCGAGATTCGAACTACTCCCACCTTGCCGGCCTTCAAGAAAGCCATTAAAACTCTCCTGTTCCGGCAGGCCTGGGGTTGATGTCCCCGGGGGGGGGGGATACGATTGGGACATGCTGTGTGAATGTACTCATTTTTATTGTTATATTTATTGTTTTAATTGTGTATGCCGCCCTGAGTCCCTAGGGATTGGGCGGCATATAAATTTTATTAATAAATAAATAAATAAATAAATACTGCTCATGAACATAAATTGTTCAGCCTCCAAGTTATGTCTTCTTCTCAGAGCCCCCAAATGTGCATCAGAACCTTCTTGCCCACCGGTCTTGACCCACAGGGCGAGGGCTTGTTCCTCTTTCTTTATCTGTTACATTTGCAACATCGCTATAACGTGCTGCAGAACCTGCACATCCGCTTCTTGGTTTCAGAGGACACCCAGCGTTTGGAAGCCATAGGATGGTTAGGCATGTCATTATCTTCAGCAAATGGGTGCTGAGTTGAGAGTTAATGTGATAATTTATTAGATTTTTATCCCCCTCTTTATTACTTTATAAATAACTCAACGCAATGAACACACCTAATACTCCTCCCACCTCCTTTTTTCTCCACAATACTATGAAATGTATTGTGTTGAGAGTTACGGATTGGCCCAAAGTCACCTAGTCAGCTTTCATGCATAAGGTGGGACCAGAATTCACAAGTCTCCTGGTTTCTAGACCAGCACCTTAACCACCACACCAAACTGGCTTTTACCCACAGGGACCTAAAAGGAACTACATTTCAGTACAATAAATCCTTCAAAATAGGCTTGTAGCATCATATATGGCTCCTATTTCTCAAGGATAATTTAAGGCAGTGGTTCTCAACCTTTTTAATGCCGCGACCCCCACCAGTCGTAAGTCGAGGACTACTCAACCGGTCGTAAGTCGAGGACTACTCAACTGGTGCAGCACCGTTTGCAGAATGGACTTTTGGTGGGCTCAGCAGGGCAGAGACAGCCTGGACCATTCCTATTGGCTTTTGAAAGCCAATAGAATTAGACTCTATTCAAGAGAGTCTATTCTATTGGCTTCCAAAATCCAATAGAATAAAAGGGAGTAGCACAGCTAAGGGAAAGGGGGGGGGGAAATGGCGGACTGCGTTGTTTGGCGACCCCCGTGAAATGGTCGTTCGACCCCAAATGGGGTCCCGTCCCACAGGTTAAGAACCACTGCTTTACAGGCTACAGGTGCCCATGTGAGTTCTAGAGATCAAAGACCTTGCCCTTTGAACAGGTTATTTTTTTCTGGACAGAGATTTTCTACGTCCAGGCCCTAAAAGTCCTCATTTCTCCAGTCCTATCAAGGAATTTCTCTGTGTGCTTGCTGAGGAAGCAACTCTTCCTCCTGAACACATCCCCATGGCAACTTAGACCCCATTCCAACCTTTGGTCCGTTGGAAGTGGAACGTGCTTTTGCTTAGAACACAGTTGTTCATTTTCAGGGAGCCATCCAATTCAAGAATTCCACCTCTCCTACTGGGAAGGAAAAGAAGACAAGGACAGCCATGATTACAGTTCAACGGGGTTAAGAGCCCCCACAGGCTGAGCAGCATATTTATTTCTTCATCTTCCCAAAAATCAGTAGTGCAGCAATGTAAACAGGAAACAGAAGAACTTGAAAAATGATTCTTCACCAGAAATAAGCCTGGCCAACATCAGGATCCTCAAGGCTACATTTCCGTTTATAACCTTTTGGGGCCTACATAACACTATCAACTTTTTCTCCCTTACTTCCAAAGACTTTATTAAGAATATAGTAAACCATTCACCTTGGGTCTACTAACCTCTACAGCAGGGGTCCCCAACCCCGGTCCGTGGACCGTCACCGGTCCGCAGCATGCCACCAAGCAGGCCGCACAAACAAGCAATGCTCCATCCTCAGGAGGCAGGCAGTATTCAAAACCACACCCCTTCTGGTCCGCGGGAAAAACCTTTCTCCATGCCACCGGTCCCTGGTGCCCCAAAGGTTGGCGACTTCTGCTCTAGAGGACCCACATAATTGTTCAGGAGGTATCTGGCGCCTGGGCCACCAACTGGCCATCCTAAACCTAAAAAAAAAAAATCTGAACTTCGACAATTTAAAAATTAGGGTCCTCCTCATCACAGTGTAAGTCCTTAGAATGGTTTGCCTTTTGCAATTCATCAGTGATAGCACTAAGAGGAGGGAATGAGGGGGGGGGGAAAGGAAGGGATAATCAATTAGGGTTTTTTTTTTTCTTTAGAGGGGGAAAAAAAAGGATGTTTGCCAAGTGTGAAACAGAGAGCACGGAAATGAATAAAGCACGTAATAATAAGAGGGGAAAAGGAAGATGAGCGAGAGTAAATCACATACCCCTAATGAAACTACGAAGCATTTTCCATCATCTTAGGGACGAAAAGGGAGCTGGTTCATATTGCCTAGTAACTTGTGATTTCCACCAAATGGGATGTTCAGTGGAGATGCCTGTATTTGCTCTAGGTTTTAAAAAAAAGGGGGGTGGTGGTGATGGTGGTTTATCGATCTGACATGGGATAACCAACATTTCTGTTGGAAAGCACACAATGTGCATGGAATTAACAACAGATAAAGAGGTGCTACAATAGGAGAGGAAGAGGCTCTGATCTACTGGGCAGTATTGGAATCAGTTTGCCTGTATTTGCCTTTTGATCCTCTCCCTCATTTTCAACTTGTGCAAAAGTGGTTTTTTGTTGTTTTCAAGACAACACATCAGTGTTTTTCACAGGCAAAGGAGCCTGTTGTTTTACAGTGTGACTGACTATCAGTGAGAAAAACTTTCAGGCTGGACGCAAGAGTGTGGAGGAAAAAGCCACCACTGATCTGGAGGCTCCATCTCAATTCTCACCACTGGCAAAAACTTAAAAGGGGAAATAACCCTTGACCATCATAGCCAACATGCAGTTTCTTTGCTTGCCGTGGAGACAATGCTTAGCTTCTTCCATTTCTGGAAAAGGAAGCTCCATCAATGATGGTGAATCAGAAAGGTTTTCTTAGGACAAAAAAAAAAATAGTTTGAGGCATCTCAGCTTTCAAGACAAACTACAAAGTGTGTTCTCACAAACAACACAGGAGTGTGTGTGAAGAAGGTTGCCAACGCTGTGGCAAACAGATGTTGGCGAGAAGAGCCTGGGATCGCTACTGCAAGCCCTACGCAAATCGATGCGTTTTCACAGGAGTGGCCGGGAAGTTCTGCATTGTTTTTCAGAACCGCACCCGCCCTTTGTAGTCTTTGTTTCACAGTTTCTACTTTTTTTTTTTTGCCAAAATTAAATTTCCCTTTTGAGTCCAGCTTCAAGTACCGGGCAGTTTGACTCCCCGTTTTCTTAAGAGATTATTGGTAAAGAGAGAAGGGCTCTCCAGCAGTGATGCTCCCAAGATGCCTCGTGCAACCGAGGGCGAAGAGAGAGCGGTCTTCTGAATCCCTTGCCACCTCTTTGCGACGCAGGCCGGTCGCTATAGAATCTCTTCTCGCTGTTTTTTTGGCTTCAGGATCACCTGCCCGTTTCTCAGAAACCCGTTCTGGCCATGGAGCAGCTTTCCTTTCTCCCGGTCAGGCCAAGTGAAGATGGCTTCGTCGCTGTCCAGTTCAGACTCGGAATGCATCAGACTGGTATTCTGGGCCTGGGACTTCTGCTTGCTGCCTTTAAAAAGGAACCAAGAAACATCAGGAAGCGAAAGGCTGCCTGTGGAGCGATCTTCGTCCTCTAGATCAGCCCCTCTGACCTGGTCCGACAGGGAAGATATGTTGCGTTAGCCCAGTGTTTCCCAAACTTGACAATTTTAAGGCATGTGGACTTCAACTCCCAGAATTCCACAGCCAGTTGAAGTCCACATGCCTTAAAATTGTCAAGTTTGGGAAACACTGCGTTAGCCCATCAGTCAAAAAGTTCTGATTGACTGGCTGCAGGAAGAGAACTTTCTCTCTCACTGTCCCTGCCGTGTGGAATATTCTCCCACCCCCACCCCCCCGCCCACTCTCTCTCACTGTCCCTGCCCTGTGGAATATTCTCCCACCCCCACCCCCCCGCCCACAGATGAGGCAGCCCCCCCCCCCCGGCCTTCCAAAGCGGAGCAAAGACCTGGCTGTGTGGCCTTGTGTGGGGAGCCCAGAGGAGCACACCACCGTGGGGCAGGTTAGCACTCTGAAAGTTCTCCCTTCCCCTTTCAATTAATTTTAAACCGTGTTTTAATCATTCTTGCCTCTTTTAAATGTTTAACTTCTTTGATCAAGAGCGAGAAATACAAACGTTACAAGAAAGAGAAAGGTTAGAAAGAGAAGCAAAAGGAAGACTTATAGAGACAAGAAGCATAAAAAACATAGATCAAGTAAAAAATGGGAGACGTAATTAAGCTCTTTTCTGTAAACATTAATGGATTAAATATATCAAGAAAAAGAGTTTAAATGTTTAACAATTTAAGGAAATTGGATGTAGATGTGATGTATCTTTGGGAAGTTTATATAAAATAGGATTATAGAAAATTACTAGAGAAAGTAAAATTTAGAATTATATACAATATTAGCATAAAACAAGAAAGGAGGAATTATTATATATGTCAAAAGAAAAAATAAAATAAAATCAATATATTTGGATGAAAAAGGGTGAATTTTAATGTTGGAAATAGTATTAGAGCAAAAACAGTATATGAAAATATTTGTATGATCACCAGGCCTAGATGGAATCCCGGTCGAGTCTTATAAAAAATACGAGAGTTACTACAATGAATAATGTTGGAAATTTAAAATGAGGTGTTGGTAGAGGCGATATGTGTATAATAATGTATTATAATAATAATAATATGAATTATTCCTAGTAAGTAGTAGAATAGGAAAGAAGGAAAACGTAAATAAGTAACAATATAAGGACAAATATTTCAAAGAAGAAAGAGGGGGGAAATGTAAATAATAGAAGAGTACTGTTACAAATTGCTGTTAACAAAAAAGGACATATTATGTGTGTATGTGTGTAACGTTTTGCTGTGTTTTGTTTTGTTTTGTTGGTCTAAAATAAAAATTAAAAAAAAATAAATGTTTAACTTTTGTATGTTTTTATACCTTAATATTGCATGGCGTATTCCCAGAGTCCCGCTGTTAGGGAGATGGGCGGTTTAAAAATACGATAAACAAAAAAGAAACAAACGTGCAAAGGGAAGAGATTTCAAGCCCCTTCTTACTTTTATATCCCTCTTTCAGAATAAAGCTTTCTTTACAAAGGCAACAAAAGCATTCGATCTCCAGATTATGGTGTATCAGAGGAAAGACAGCAAAGGAATCACATGCTCGGTCCTCTATTTCACACGCTGGCAGGAATGAGGATCTATATCATGTGGTTGGACCTGATTTCACAACCATTTTTTTAACTGGAGTCATGAAGCAAATCTGGCTTCCCCGACTGATTTTGCTTGTTGGAACCAGGCTGATAAGGTCATAAGTTACACTCACATGATCGCAAAATACTGCAACCATCATAAATGTGAGCCAGTTGCTAAGCTCCCAGATTGCGAACCTGTGACCTTGGGGGTGGTGCGAGAGTCATAACTTCGAGGACAGGTCTTAAGTCGCTTTTTTTGAGGCCGTTGTAGCTTCAAACTGTCCTTAAACAGTCGCCAGTCGAAGACTACCTATAAAGGTCTAAACTGGGGTTCATGGAGACATTTATAATCCCTTGAGAATAAAAATCAGGCTGCCTCAGTCTTTGGTCATCACTAACCTCTTCTCTAAGGTCTCACCTGCTTTGGAATTTGGTTTCAGCTCCAGGCTCTCTTGATCCGTGGCATCCAAGATCTTATACTTACTCTTCCTTCTGGCTTTTCCTTTTTTCCTTCAGGAGACAAACAAACAAGGTGGAGCTCAGGGAAGGCGGAATAAGATGAACAGCTCGCCCGAGGAACCCTGGCAAAGGGGGCACGGGAGTTTACTCACTTCTTGCAGCAGCAGACCACCACCCAGGAGAAGATGCCAAGGGAGACCAGAATCACAAAGGATGCAATCACGACGTAGAGCACACTCCATTCTGGAAGAAGCACAGAAATGTTCTCGGATTGTCTGACTTTTGAGACGTTAAGAGAAATTTCACGAGTCCTTTGGGCACAGCAAGAAGAGGTGAATGCAGTCATGGGTTCTTAGTTAGCAGAGGAAAAAAAATGGAACTTCTGGATTACCAGGACTAGGATCTTGACTTCCTGCCCTTGCTTGGCCAGTCTTCTCAATCCCCTGCTATACTTCTGACTCCAGATCAAAACCAGCCTTACGTCTCCATCTTTCAGAAATTACACAAGAGAGCCTGTGTGTTCAGATAAATTTTCTGTAGCTAATAATAGATACCGTATTTTCCGGCGTATAGGACGACTTGGCGTATGAGACGACCCCCGACTTCGGAGCCGATTTGCATGCTTTAGAAAGTCGTCGGAAAATACAGTAATTTAAACTCTGGATTAAATTCAGGAACCATTTTAGGCATAGAGGGAAGTATGAATGGGCAAATTAAAAAGCAGCCCAACTCTCGTTACTTCACCCATTCTCCTTGGGATTTCACGGAAGAATGGTAAACACAGGAATCTCATGAAATTTGGCAATCTTGTGAATTTTCTTTTTAAAAATTAAACGAGCCCCACTTGCTCCACAAGATCAGTCTGAAAAAGCTGGGGTATTCTGCTATTGTGTTTTTTCTTAATGACCTTCTGTGTTGGGGAGATGCTTCGACTGTCCTTTTCGATAAATACTGTAAATGGATTGGCTGAATTAAGGGAATATTAGCAGAGCCTCACACCCCAGAGAAGTTGATCTATCTTAGGTAGTAGCTACTGTGACTACTCTCCCATCTTCCTTTGGAAGGGATATCCCAATTGACCTAACAGGGTGTGCTACTGACAGATTGTAGGTTAGGCAAAGTGTAATTATCGTGGTCTTGCCTGAACATTCCTGTGGAACAAGGATGAATGACCTCACTGACCCTTCCTCTCCTAGAGAGCATTTAAGACACAAGAAACACAATCTTAGAAGTCAACAGCAATGCTCTATGTCAGCCTGTTAACTCTCCTCTCCTTATAACAGAGAGTAAGATTTAACATGTAAGCAGAATCTAGACACACCTAAAATGTAAGCAACATCCTGACACAGCCTCTAGCAAAACTCATCCTATGTCCAGCAGAGTCATGAAACTGGGATGTCCACCTACCGCAATTGCTTTCACCATCCCCAATCTGCACTTTGATGAAGTTCTCCATCCAAAAAGGATCACAAATACAACGCTTGGTGAAAGAGTCGCATAGGCCGTGATCTGAACAGTTTAGCTGGCAGGCTGAGGAGGAGGAAAATCTAGTCAATAGGGAGGCAGACAGTACCAGGGACAGGGACAGAGGCCGCTTGAGAATACGAATACGGCCTTTATGTATATTTCTCATGGTTGTTTGTCCATATAGCATGGATGTATAAATAAAATACAAGTACTGCCTGGCTGTTTATAGTCTGTAATGATTTAGATGGGGGATAATAAACCAAATCCAGACTAAATAAAAGAACTCACTCTGAAGGAACAAGTTTCCAGAGAGATAATACATATCTTAATTGTGAATACGGTTATACTCTTAACAGAAAACCAACAGATATGCAGTTTGAAGCAAATCTGCATTTATTCTGGTTTTGCAGATGGATGCAACCATTTTGACCAACTCTGGTTGATGTACAACTCCATCTCCTCCCCATATATGCACCATAGAGATTTGATTGGCTATTATAGGCTTCCATTTAATATGGGTATCTGATGTTCAGAAACCTCAACTGTTCCAGAACTAGGTTGGTCTCGGCCATAACTAAAAGATCACATTACATCTATGCTAAGAATTATATTGGCTTTCAGTTCCCAGGTAAATGATGTTGTTAGTTGCGAAGTCGTGTCTGACCCATCGCGACCCCATGGACAACGTTTCTCCAGGCCTTCCTGTCCTCCACCATCTTCTGGAGTCCCTTTAAGCTCACGCCTCCTGCTTCAGTGACTCCATCCAGCCACCTCATTCTCTGTCATCCCCTTCTATTGCCCTCAATCTTTCCCAGCATCAGGCTCTTCTGCAGTGAGTCCTTCCTTCTCATTAGGTGGCCAAAGGACTTAAGTTTCAACTTCAGGATCTGGCCTTCCAAAGAGCAGTCGGAGTTCATCTCCTCTAGGACTGACCGGTTTGATGGCCTTGCAGTCCAGGGGACTCACAGGAGTCTTCTCCAGCCCCATAGTTCAAAGGCCTCCATTCTTTGGTGCTCAGCCTTTCTTATGGTCCAACTTTCACAGCCATACATTGCAACTGGGAAAACCATGGCCTTGACTATGCATCCCAGGTAAATAGCCAGCACTGATTATTATCAGCGCTATGGTTTTGGTTCAGACTACTTGAAAAGACCTCAAAATCTAGGACACTTTCTGCTGACTCCCTTGTTCACAGGGTTCAACTGAGGAGGTTTACCTAGAGTTACTTTGGGCTCATTTTGTGGCAATCCTTGTAGCTGGATTTCTGGAGTGTGATCCCTGCTGAGTTGTGGGAAATGGCCTCTTTTTCAGTTTTAAGAAAGTCCTAAAAATATATCTTTCGAAAGAGATTTGGGATAGGTGATTTTAGTAGGCATTTTTAAAATATTTCTAGCTTTCGCTGCTAATTTACATGAGTGTTTGATATATAGAAGCAAGTTAGGTTCCTAGCCAGTTGCCTGCATAAGACCTGGAGTTTTAGATTTATTTATTTGAATTATAGATCAAATTTGGAGATGGAAGATCTCCCTCATCAAATTTGGAGATGGAAGATCTCCCTCATAGAGCAACTCTGATGATGGGCTTACTGAAATAACCTTTCTGACTTTGCTTGTCAGAAACCAACTGGGAAGGTTGCAAATGATGATCACATGACCCCAGGACCTTGCAACTGTCATAAATACCTGCCAGTTCCAAGTGCCCCAATTCTGATCACATGGCCATGGGGATGCTAAGTGTGAAAACCGGTCATAAGTCACTTTTTTCAGTGCTGTTATAACTTCAGTCACTAAGTGAATGGTTGTAAGTCAAGGACTACCTGTAATGCGTTTTACCAAAGGGCAAAAGGGAAGCTTCAGCAGGTGGATTCGTGAACTGAGCCCTGCCTTCTTGTTTGTTTGCAGTGAAACCAAAAATCAAAACCTGCTGCCACAATTAATCTCCTTCAGTGGAGCCAACAGCACCATCTTCAAACTCTAACCTCGCCCTACCCAGTGCTCGGAGGAAGAATCTTGATGGCCTTCTGGAAGGTAAGAGAGTTGGAGCCTGTTGGATCCCTAGAGCAGGGCTTTTCAACCTTATCAACCACTTTTAGGATATGGCAACATCCGAGGACCACCAGTCGCCTAGCAAGGTGTCAAAAACTTGATGACCCCCCCCCAAAAGGAAAAAAGCGATGAAGTACAGGTAGTCCTCGACTTACAACAGTTTGCTTAGTGACTGTTTGAAGTTACAACGGCACTGAAAAAAGTGCCTCCCAAGCCACAGCCGAGCAAGACACCTGCCTGCCCGCCCGGCTGCGCTCTTCCTCCTGTCCGAGGTTTTCATTCATTCATTCATTCATTCATTCATTTATTTATGAGACTTATATACCACTTTAAGTGCACACTCTCTAAGCGGTGTACACCAGTAAGCAATGTATATATATATTTACATTGCCCCCAATAATCTGGGTCCTCATTTTACCTACCCCGGAAGGATGGAAGGCTGAGTCAACCTTGACCCGGTGAGATTTGAACCGCTGACCTGCTGAACACAGTCAGCTAAAGTGGCCTGCAGTACTGCACTCTAACTGCTGTGCCACCTCGTGAGCATTTTGTTGTGAGCATTTCTGCTGAGGATTGGCAGCAGGGGTGGGATGGTGTTTGGTTTTTATTCCCCGTCTGCTGGGTGGTTGCAGCAGGTTTTGGTCACTTCACATGACCCTGGGACACTGTGACCGTCATAAATATGAATCAGTTGCCAAGCATCTGAATGTAAATCACAAGACCCTGGAGATGCTGCAACATTCCAGCTGATTGGTGCTTCTTCTGGGCTCAGCAGAAGTGCCAGGATCAGCGCCGAGCTCCATCTGGAGCCTGACGCTGATCCTGGCGCTTCCACTGAGCCCTGACAGCCCCGAAGAAGCGCCAATCAGCTGGAAAGTGGCACTGATCCTGGCGCTTCCGCTGAGCCCTGACAGCCCTGCAGCTCCAGCCATCTCTCGCTCAGGCTTGTGCGGTGCTGCCACCGGTTCAGCTCATTCCCCTCCTCCTTCTAGGATGGTTGCATACCACCTGCCAGGTGCCAATGTACCACAGCTGGTACCCGAACCACTGGTTGAAAAGCCCTGTCCTAGAGGAATGGTGTGCACAGGGCAGAAGCTGCCATGGAAAAGACACGCTTTCAAGGTCCCGCTAGGCAGCAACATGATTTCTGGGTGTAACGGAATAAAGTGAGTCTCCTACAGTATCCTCTGACTTACTGACAGTATTGATCTCCAGCGCACGGAAGATAAGGAAATCTGATTGTTGCTTCCGCAATTCACTCTTGAGGGTCCATGCAACATCACGCCCTTTGAAGACCTGGCGAGGAGGCTGGTTCCGCACGTAGAACACCAACTTTGTGCTGTCAAAGGGAAGAAAATTGGGAACGGGAAAAGAGAAAATGATTGACCAGAATTGCAATTCATGAGAGGCAGGAAGGCGCCATGGAAGTTATTTCCTTAATACACAATCTTTGAGAACTTGCCCGATGTTTCTCGCCCAGTGACCATGTGGGCCCTGTGTTTAAGATAATCCTCTTTCCTCTGAAGCAGTGGTTCTCAACCTTTTTAATGCCACGACCCCCAACCGGTCGTAAGTCGAGGACTACTCAACTGGTGCAGCACCGTTTGCAGAATTGGACTTTTGGCAGGCTCAGCAGGGCAGAGACAGCCTGGACAATTCCTATTGGCTTTTGAAAGCCAATAGAATTAGACTCTATTCAAGAGAGTCTATTCTATTGGCTTTCAAAAGCCAATAAAATAAAAGGGAGTAGCACAGCTAAGGAAAAGGGGGAAAAATGGCGGACTGCGTTGTTTGATGACCCCTGTGAAATGGTCGTTCGACCCCAAATGGGGTCCCGACCCACAGGTTGAGAACCACTGCTCTGAAGCCTAATGAAGAGCAAACACATTGCATAGATGATCAAACGCCAATCTTTTAAAACATACGTTATGCATGTGTAAAAGCCCGTCTGCCATTTTTGCAAGTGAGAACTAACAAGAAAAGATTCAAACTGCAGACAGGTGAAACCTTTCCATGTATACTGAGGGCTGGGCCCTTATTTATCAAGCATGGATAAGCAAGGCTACAGATAATGAGAGCTAACAGTATCTGTCTATATGAAAGGGAGGTGAGGCTTTGTGTTAGCTAACTGCCCTTTCCTCAGCCACCATATTGCTCAACAAAATCATGCAGTTGATGCTGGACTGAAGCCAGCATCAGACAGACCATCCACACTGTTTTTGCTTCTTCTTTTTTAAACCAAGTACCAAACAAATAGGAGCATCAGATATTTATAGGCTTAAATATCTGATGCTCCTATTTTTTCAAGTTTATTAGAAATCTACTTGAAGAAAGCAAAGCACTTCAGGAGTGGATTCATCAAAACTGCATCATGGGAAAGGGTGTTACCAGGTTTACTATATAAAACAAAATTGGCTATGTTTAAGCAACACACTTACAAAGTAGGCTGGCTAGAAACCAAGTAACATCTTAAACTACAAACTTCTAAATTACATATTAGTTGGTAGCATCTATGTGTCCAATAGTCCCGCAGCCCTCTAAATTTGTCTGTATTCTCACAATGTGAATGGCTGAGGGCAGGGGTGTTTAGTACAGATATAACTGTGCATACAACTGTGCCCACACAATACAGTGCACCTGGGCCACCTCTGCTCCAAGAAACCCATAGCGCCCAACATTGCAGCCTTAAAAATAGGTCAGTTGGAGCATGTCAAAAGAAAGTGTTGCTTTGTATCATTTTATTTTGATGAGAAGGAGCTGGGGCTAGTGCCAGTTGGGATATTCAAAGATTAGTTATCTCAGAACAGGTCCATTAATGGAACCTCCTTACCTAACTGATGTCTACATTCACCCTCAACCTCAAAAGAACTCCAAGCACCCAATGTACGGAGACATTTAATTTCCAAGACAACCACCATGGAACGGAAGCTGGGTTGAAAGTGTGGTTCTTCTTTTCTTACCTCTTCTCAGTGTAAGCCTGGATCTTCTGAACTGTGATGTCTGAATCTAGGACCCCAAGCAGAACCCCGATCTGACGGATGAACATGCCCTTCTGCCGCTCCGTCAGGTGGCTGACGTTGACATCTAGGATCATTTCCACAAGGTTGTTCCTCCTAGGATCTGGAAGAGTGCTGAAGTAAGTGCTAGAATGCGTCACGTGCACTGGCGAGGTTGGAATGTAAACTTGCTCTATCGCCGGGGTGAGGCCAAGGAAAAACAAAACGGGTCTGCTGTGGCCATCTATGCGTTTAACTTAGTTTAACACAAAGCTAGCCAAACGGGCAGGGCATCCAAGATTCATTCTTTGGAAAATGTTCAGGGAAAGAACATGAAGAAGGATGGCTCCTGAGAGACAGCTGTTCCCATTCCAGGTGAAGCCAACTTGGAGAAGCTTTGTGTTGTTTAGAACAGAGGAGACAAAGTTTTGATTTGAAGTGGGGGCTGGTGGAGATACTTAAATATTTCAGGTAGGATAGGCTAAGTGGCTCTGTCACTTACGGGCGTGTGTGTAGTAGTTTCCACTTGTTTCTGGATTTGGAAGATGGGGGGACTTCGGTTTTTTTTGGCTCCTCTGTTGGAGTAACTACATGCGTGTTGGGCAGCCATAGAAATCCATTTAATTAATAAATATTTTTGTGTGTTTCTCCACCTAAAAGTTAGGAGCCATGCAATCTTTCAGCAGTCAAGTCAGAGAAATTCAGAATCTCAGCTGGAGAAAGCTATGGGGGTTGCATAAAATGATGGAGGAAAATGGGTGCATGTCGTTCGTACGTACACTGTATGCCTAGAAATATGATAAACTTACAGAGTACTAACCCTACTATGTCATATATAGCAGGTAATCCTCATTTTAACGACCACAATTGGGACTAACAACTATATTCCTAAGTGAAGTTGTCACGAAGCTACAACTGTGCTTGTGATCTTACTTCAGCTTTCCTTTGCTTTAAAGACATGCAAAGGTGATACATTGTGAGAATTGGTCGGGAAGTTACTTTTTTATCACTGTCATAACTACAAATGGTTGCTAAATGAGGCAGTCGGTAAACGAGGACTACTAGAAGTGAAACCCAATGCAGGGTCTTAGCTTTTAAAATGGATGAAGCACAGCAGCTAAAAACACAGAAACCGTTTAGCCTAAAGTTACGATTTCATCACATCCATGAAGGCCCACTTCAAGGTCCAATTGGAACAGATGAGTTTATGTCTTGTAATGATTATTAATATTGTGGATTACATGCTTGGAATACGATGCTCAGCTATACTTCTTACTACCAACCCTGCTCCTTCATTAGTTATTTATATTATTGCTACTTGTTATTAGCACATAATAATAAGATCATACATACAGTGTCTACTTCACTTTCCCCCTTCCACATAAGCTTCATGTAGAACAGTGGTTCTCAACCTGTGGGTCGGGACCCCATTTGGGGTCGAACGACCATTTCACGGGGGTCACCAAACAACGCAGCCCGCTATTTTTTTCCCCCTTTTCCTTAGCTGTGCTACTCCCTTTTATTCTGTTGGCTTTTGAAAGCCAATAGAATAGACTCTCTTGAATAGAGTCTAATTCTATTGGCTTTCAAAAGCCAATAGGAATTGTCCAGGCTGTCTCTGCCCTGCTGAGCCAGCCAAAAGTCCCATTCTGCAAACGGTGCTGCACCAGTTGAGTAGTCCTCGACTTATGACCGGTTGAGTAGTCCTCGACTTACGACCGGTTGGGGGTCGCGGCATTAAAAAGGTTGAGAACCACTGATGTAGAACCAATCATTTTGGGAACGAAGATATGATGACGGAAATGGACACGCTCACCAGCTTTCACTTCCACAGTGGCTCGGTCTACAGCACTCTCCCCTTTGGCATCAGTCACTTTTAGATGGAAGGTGTACGTTCCCTCCACCAGGTTGGAGAGAAACAGAATGGGATGATGATCCGAATTATTTAGCACCTCCTGTATTTCAAGCAAACGTCCCAAAGGAAAGAAAGCAGAAATTCAAGATCCAGAAAGGTCTTCAAACAGTTCCAGAATTCAGTTTCTTAAAAGCATTGCACACAAAGACACGCACACAATTATAGCAAAATGGATTCTCTCCTTCATGTGGAGGAGAAGTTGGAAGCACCCCGGGTATCCTCATGTGCTTTTGATCAACAACATAAATTGTAAAGCACCAGAAATGCAGAAGAGGCCTATTTTTACTTGCTTTAAAAAAAAACAAACCTGGAATTTTGAAGGAAGTACAAGAAGCCCTACTGACTAAATACAATTGCAGGCAAGATGAGCAACTATCAAGGGCCAATTAACAGTGAAACAGGTTTAAAAATTAAGAACAGAGCAAGGGTATTTCACTGATACAGCAAGCATTACACAGAGATAATGCTGTGTAGCTTCAGGATGTGCCGTTTCCTTTCTGATTATCTTCTATTAGAGAGCTCCAAAGGGCCCCTGGGGTTAATTAGTTTTATACAGATTTTACAGACTTCTCCTGTACAATATTTATGGGAGTTGTTTCCAACCCATTTAGAGGGCAACTGACTGAGGAAAATTGCTCTAAAGGAAAACAAAATTCAATATACTGGATCGTCCCTAGTTTATGAGCTGCTGTATCGTTCATGCAGTTGGCAAAATATTGCTAAACGTTCTTGAGTCTCACATATAGCAGAAGCACTGTAGAAAATGGAGTAGCAGATCTTTCAATACCCACCCCTGCTGCAGGGCTGCTCTCATCCCGAGTCCACAGGAAGGTGACAATTCCTTTGTCATCCATAGATTGGGACCCATCAAGCTCTGCCGTGCTTGTAGGGAGTGTAATGGTAAGGCTGTTCCCCACAATTTTTGCCACAGGAGGCTGATTTATTTCTGGACAAAAAGGGAAGAAGAAAGGATCAGAAGACTTATGAGTCCAAAGGGTAACAGTAGGTGAAGATACTCCAGGAGGAGGATTTTGGGAATATTCATTCCAGCACGGACTCCATCATCAGCCATAAAACCCAACTGAATTATCAACCATATGGTTTACAGAGCTAGCCAAAATATGGTCAATAATTTCCCTCAAACTTATCAATTAATTACTAAAGAAGATGGGATAATCCAGAAACATACTTTTAAAAAATTCCCACTGGTTCTCGTAGGACAAATTAATTGCAGAATACAATAACAGCCAGGGTGTTGGTTTAGTTTAGTGTTTCTCACTCAGCAACTTTTAAGATGTGTGAACATAATTCTCAGAATTCCCCAGCCAGCATGGGTGGATTTCAATTCCCAGAATTCTCCAGCCAAGATGGCCCATCTGATTTGATGGCCATTAAAATATTATGACTTCCCACCTGCTACTCACCTTCTTTCACAATGACATTAACTGAACTTTGCCCTTGTAAATTCCGTTCATCTTTGACTGTTAGTGTGAATTTGTACGTTCCCACTTTAAGCCCAGAGACTGTGGCTATGCTGCTGTTGGCATTTTCCAGTTTCACGCCATCCGGACCCCTGGCACAGAAGAAATAAGCTGAACTTGACATAAATGCTTGCACAGGAAAGGAAGACAGAGACAGTTATTCCTTCTGACACCTGAGGAAGACCTAGGCTGTGACGCAAGGAGAATTATTTGGTGTGCTCAGGAAGAAATAAACATATCGAGTAGCGTTTCCCCCCCCCTCTCTCTGGTCATGATTCTTTTTCTCTTGTTCCATATAAGTGAATGGAATAAAGTCAAAATAATTTTATTCCAGTCAGCTGTTTATGGAAAAAATAAGATGCAGTTAGTAAACGTGGGTGACACAGATTTCTCCCACCCGAAAAAAAAAGACCAAATATCAAATTGTGTAGGTTTGTGAGGAAGGAGAGATAGGAGACCCTTAAGAGAATTTTCCTGATTTTTCAGAATCTTTGGCATTTTGTAACTTTAGGAAGCTACTTCTAGGCTAGGTCAAAAGTCAGCATAGTTCTACAAATATACAGGAACAATGAATGGCTTGAGATGAGCTTTTATTCCCACCTGAGACCAAGTTCTTGTCAGGACTGCCAAGAAAACCTCCCAAGAGACTCCAGAAAAATGTCTGGCCCCATCAACCTCTTATAATAAAAGGATCCGTTTCTCAGTCTAGGTTTCAGGGAACCTGAAGTCAACACTAATCATGTAATGAAAATCCCATGACAATTGTGTTTTATTTTGAGATTCTCCCTCCTGCCCCCCAAGATGATTACCCCTAATCCTAGACAGAAAAATATTCTACCACATATGGAAGTCTTGATTGCTCCAGAGAAGGTAGCCTTGGTGTGAATAGAATTGAAGCCTTTGAACTTGGGTGCTGGAGAAGACCCCTGTGAATCCCCTGGACTGCAAGGCGATCCAACCGGTCAGTCCTAGAGGAGATCAACCCCGACTGCTCTTTAGAAAGCCAGATGCTGAAGATGAAACTCAAGTACTTTGGCCACCTAATGAGAAGGAAGGACTCACTGGAGAAGAGCCTTATGCTGGGAAAGATGGAGGGCAAGAGAAGAAGGGGACAACAGAGGATGAGGTGGCTGGACGGAGTCACTGAAGCAGGAGGTGTGAGCTTAAATGGACTCCAGAAGATGGTAGAGGACAGGAAGGCCTGGAGGAACATTGTCCATGGTGTCATGATGGGTCGGACACGACTTCGCAACTAACAACAGCAAGTCTATGTACTCAACACCACACTCAAGATAATCTACAACAGGCAAGGCAAGTGAGCCTGGGAGGTGGCAGGTAACTTATGGATTCTCAGGCCTATCTCAAGATGCGAACTCAAAAAGACCTTACTTAAGTAAGCAGAGTAGACCAAATGTGTAATTTCTTTTCCATGCAAAAGAACCACCACCAAGTGCGGGAGAAAAGAGAGACATACTTTGTTTTCTCCCAAAGGAAGGAGACAATCTTCTGGTCGTCTGAGCTCTTGCTGCCATCCAGAGTGGTGCTGTCCACTGGCAGAGTGAGTTCTTTGTCTGGACCAGCATCTGCCCTGGGCGGCTTGTTGTTTTCTGAGTAAAAGGACAGGAATTGAAAAGACGCTCCAGAATGTGGCAGATTGCTTGCAATGAGAGGTATAAAGAGGAATAAAACGCAAATAAAATTGATTTATAGAAAGTTAAACCGTTATCTGACCCATTGGAATCCATACTGGCAACCCTCCTTCTCCCCCGCCCCCCCCCGGATTTTCAAATATGACTGTTGTCTATCCCTGCTAGTCGAGATGCTTTAAGCAGGAAGGCTTGGAATCAGACAGGGCCCTTTTTACATGCAAGGCACAATGTCCTGAATTATGGATTTTTTATAAACAGCCTGTAAAATATAAACTTAAGTTACACATTAAAAATTTACTTGGATACTGCCATATCCTGTTTCACTGACGTTTTATGGGATTTATACGTTTATTTAACATAAGCAGCTTCTACTGGGCAAACAAGTCATATTCTGTAAATCCAACTGAGAGGTTGTAGGTGGCCAAGAGTGAGAACTTAAACCCAGATCGCCTTTTTTTTTTGGCATTAGCAAATAATAATATTCGCTCCACAAAACAGGCATTTATTTTGTTGGTAGGAGCTGCACTTCTCTCCCCCCCCAACACACAAACACACACGAGAGTTCCTGAGGGCCAAAGGGAAAAAGGTGTGACATAATTCTGAATTCTCTAGAGCAGTGTTTCTCAACCTTGACCATTTTAAGGCATGTGGACTTCAACTCCCAGAATTCCACAGCCAGCATTGCTGGCTGTGGAATTCTGGGAGTTGAAGTCCACATGCCTTAAAATGGTCAAGGTTGAGAAACACTGCTCTAGAGGGTACATGGTCAATATTTTTGGCATGTCTGTTGTGTTTTTTTTATTATTTTTAGTTTTTGAGGATGTGAACTGTTTTAAAAATCAAAATCAGCATGTTTTGCCTGTTCAGATTCAGATACTTATTCACGTTCTTTTTTTTTGGTCAAAATATAAAATTAAAAAAATCAAAATAGGCATCAAAAATAGATAATATCCTGCTGAGGTTTGTGATAATGATCTTAGGGTGGTCTAGAATCAGAAAAATGAGGGTGGAGATGCATGTGGCCTATGAATTGCCCAGCCTTCTAGTTCTCTATATTTATGAGATAAGATCTTGACCTAGAGAGTGGCATATCCAGCAAATGATACACATTGTCTCATAATATAGAGTTTTCCATTCCATATAAGCCCTATAATTCAAACTAACGCGTAACACATAAAAGAGCCCATAAAGGAGGTTTTGCAGAGTTTTAACAGGCTTCCATTAAAGACTTCAATATACAGAATGGAAATTATTGTACAGGCTTAGCTCTTTGCTCTCCAGCAATTTTTAAATTTTTTTTTCATGCTATGCAACATACCATTTCTAAAACTCAAGGGAGTTTCAAATGCTATTTTTTGTTCTTTAAGTGGTTTGGGGGGGGGGATTGGTGGGGAGACAGCCTGTGCACATTTATTTGGGTAAAATAAAAGAAGTCAAGGGCTTTTAAGTGTCATTGGTTTCACCAACAGTAATTTAAAAGCATGCACCCCAGGAGGATGATACTGAAGAAGCCTTCCACGACTACCATGCCCCTTCTACATCTGGCCCATAACAATCTTCATAACTAGGTTTCTGGAATGTAATAGGGATTTGCATTTTGCATTCCCTTATGCCAAACAATTTGTTTTGAAAGCATACCAGGTTGTACGATCACAGTGACTTCAGCGGTGGACTGATGGCCAGCAGAATCTGTCACTGTTAGTTGATAGGTATAGTCACCTTCACGCATGGCTGAGAGCTGCAGAGTTGAAGTCCTTACCCCCTATGAATTGGAGAAGGAGGAGGAGGAGGAGGAGGAGGAGGAAGAAGAGGAGGAGGAGAAGGAGAGAGATAAAGAAGGCTGATTAAACTTTTTATCTTGGATGTCAGAATGAATCGAAGGGTTTCGTCTCAGATAAGCCCACTTTTATCTCTTTTTTTCAAAACTATGGAATTCACTTAAATCAGTGGTTCTCAACCTTTTTAATGCCGCGACCCCCAACCGGTCGTAAGTCGAGGACTACTCAACCGGTCGTAAGTCAAGGACTACTCAACTGGTGCAGCACCGTTTGCAGAATGGGACTTTTGGCGGGCTCAGCAGGGCAGAGACAGCCTGGACAATTCCTATTGGCTTTTGAAAGCCAATAGAATTAGACTCTATTCAAGAGAGTCTATTCTATTGGCTTTCAAAAGCCAATAGAATAAAAGGGAGTAGCACAGCTAAGGAAAAGGGGGAAAAAAATGGCGGACTGCGTTGTTTGGCGACCCCCGTGAAATGGTCGTTCGACCCCAAATGGGGTCCCGACCCACAGATTGAGAACCACTGACTTAAATGAATGCTAATCTTGGAGACTTAGATATCATGCAGATTTGGTGAAGTAAAGCTAGCCTTAGGCACTTATATGCTTAGCAATTCTGATCTGGGGGAGGAACAGGAACCAACGCAGCCAGAAATGCAATGACATTGGCGGGAGATAACCTAACCATCTTTTCTATGGATTGAACCATAGTGTCCACTCTTGGAGAGCGCATTTATTTTTATTAAATTTATGAAAAACTGGAGGGAGATTGATATTCATTAGGTCATAAAATTCCCCGAAAACACGCACGTGACTGGAGCCAGTTTAAAGCCTGCCCAGTGTGTCTTGAACACAAATGTTAACATTAAGAATCATATTATTTCCTATATTTTACTTGATGCTACATATTCTCACGGCTGCTAGATTGGCGTATGCACAAAACTGGAGGAATAAAGAAATTCCAACAGAAGAAGAGATTTTATATAAAATCTTATCGTGTGCTGATATGGATAGGCTCACAATGGAAATGAAGGACAAGACAGAGTCAGATTACTTTGAAATCCGGGACAAATTCTATTGTTGGTGTGAATCAAGGAGAACTGTTCGAGTTTTAAGTTAGTGTTAAGATAGAGATATATAAAACCGTATGTCAGTATATAGAGAAACAAATTAGAGACTGTATTGTATAGAAAAATATGTATATATATTGATTAAGAATTATATGTATGGTGAGGAACAAATTGTTAGGAATATATACACTGGAATGTTACGTTATGTCCATCCTTGTTTTAACTGTTTTATAAATAAAAAACTCTTTTTAAAAAAAGAATCATGTTATTTCCTAACCGTATGGAATCATTTGTTTTACAGGCAAATATTGGACTCTAACTGCCAGACGTTTACAAGGATCGCTGCAATTTTTTTTCAAGCTGAACTTGTAAAGTGTATTAAGAAAATGTTTACGGATGCATTTAAATGGGAGTCCTGGCAATCTTACCTGCATTTCTGCTACCTTCACTTTGCTGTTGGGGCTGAGGGACCATTCGTAGCTGACAATGCCGTGGTCATCTGTGCTTTGGTTTCCATAAAGGGTGATGGAATTTTGAGGCAGGGTGATCACTTGGTTAGGACCCGCATTTGCCACAGGGGGGTAGTCCACGGCTTTGTTTACTGTCAGGTTAGCGGTGGTGGAATTGCTAGCACCATCAGAATCCACCACAGTGAGGCTAAAGTGGGAGAGATAATGAGGAAAGGGAACAATTTTGCAGGCAGCAATCAGAGCTAAATCTGGCAATCAGACGCACGCTACCTCTGACATTTTTCATTCGCGTTTATTAGTTCCTAATGGAATTGACTGAAATGTTGCGATGGTGCTTATTTGAACATCTATGGCAACATCCCTGGCTATAATGGTTATTTATTTCCCATGCTGCATATAACTGAAATTTAAGCAAATGCTAGTACTTCTGGGAGCAGCTCTAACTGCTGGCCAACTGCATGACACACAGCTTTACAGAGTGACTCTGAAGCCCTGCATTTCTATTCACAGATAGGAAAGGAAAGAGCTATTTAACAAGCAATGTGGAAATTTCCACTCTCTGATTGAAGATATATCATATGTGATTCTCCACAAGGCACCAAGAAGTTCCACAAGGCACCAACCTCAATTAGCAAAGTCTGGCTGGCCTCCGGGGACCTCTTAGTAGTGGCTGCTGTTGGACAGGTCTCTTCCCTAATGGATATGCAGTTGGCTAGTTCAAAAACCTACCTGTATCAATGATCATTTCATCAAAGTTTTTATTGCCACTTTCGTGCTGTGATTGGGGAGACTGCTTTATACTGGCGGAACAATATCGAAATGTCCTGCTATTTTTTAATGTTATTATATTAATATCAAGCTACATATTTTTTATTTTATATCATCTGTAGCCTTGGCTATTCTATTAATAAATCTGCTAAAATATTAATGCCGTGAGTCATTTAAAATAAATATCAGAATTCAGTGCCAGAGGGCACAAGGCTTATGTGGTGTGGCAATTTTATATCATTAAACATTTGCCGATACGCTATAAATAAGGTGGAAGGAACAATTCGAATTAAGTGGGTGGAAGTGACCAAAAAAGTTGTTTTTGTTAATAATTTGGTTTTATATCTGCTGCAGCCTAGTGTGGGCACTGTGTATATGAGTCTCATGAATAATAAGGCTTTTTTGCAATTACCGGTTTCAAGCAAGTGTTCACTGCCAAAGTAAATACATTTTTAAAGTGTTCCTCAAAAGTGCCAAAGAAATCCTTTCAGAAACAGCTGAAAAGCCTTGCTAAGCATGAAAAAAGAAGCATAAAGAAACCACTTGGCAATTAAGGCAAGCACATGATGTAAGATTCACTGCTGGTTTCAAATGCACAAATGAAATCTAAACCGTCGCATTATATAGGCCATTTGCTAGTTGATAATCTGCCTGTTCACTTTTGGAGGGCTCTGTAACAGAGCCATGCAAACAGTTAATTATTTAAAATCATTGGCAAAGCAACCCAGGAAACAGCTTTTTGGATGAGAACATCTGAAGCATATCATCCTACTACTGATCAAAAGAAGAAAAAAAAGCTTTTTAAGCTTAAAATATTTATTCTACAAATCGAATGACAGCTATACCAATGAGTAACAGGTATTCTTTAGCTATTAAATTGAAGCCAGCTAGACTAAATTCAAAGAAAATTGAAATATTTATTTATTTGTCTGTTTGTTTGTTTGTTTATTTATTTATTTATTCTATTTACGACACTATAATCCCTTTTATCGGGGTAAACTGAACGGAGCTGAGTGTTTATTGGCCGGATGGCCTTCCTGATGCCTTATTTAAATTTATTATAGCTGCCCAAATCCAATGGACACTGAGTGGAGTGCAACCCCCCCCCCACCATAAAAACAGGTAAACCTAGAACTACAGATAGCCCAAATGACAGAGAATTGCTGAAGAATATCCCTAGAAAATTCGACGCGTTTACAAAAGAAGCTAATTTAAATGTATCCTCATTATTTTATTATTCATTTGCCGTGTCTTGACAACCCTCAAGAATATCCATCTTAAACTTCAGTTAAACAAACAGGTATGCAAGCACTACTTTTTTTTAAATAGATGCAGGGCAAGTAGAAGAGAGAGAGGAAGGGAAAGATTTAGAAAGAAATAGGGAGGATGAGCCATAGGATATTCTTTCACTAATGTTCATAACTCGCTAAAAACAACATAATGTGGGATCCCACTGTTTTATGAATGCAGCAACAGCCACCTGGATCCAGGATGATGCTAGTAGCAGCTTTGCCAGATTATGTTGTCAACTGAGGTATGTATGCTTATATAAGCAGACCACCTACACAGGCTAACAAAAATAAAATAACATTGTGGGTAAAACAGCGTTGCTGTTCTTGGAACTAATTTAGTTGCTAAGCTTATTATATAATCTAAAGTAACGCTGTATTTTGGACTCACAATCAGAAACAGGATCTCTTGGCTTACCGGAATGTGTAATTTCCTGGTACCAGGTTGGTCAGTTCCAGAATATCTGTATCCGCAGATACCTTCTCTTCTCGAAGTGGCCCCTTTAGTTCTTCCCAGTGGTAGCTGACTATTTTATCATCATCGGTACTTTCTGATCCAGTGAACACAGATAATGTGTGTCTTATTTTACAAGCCATTTTCTCAATAAACATGCAATACTCAAATCTACTTAAAAATTAGTCCAAAGCTGATGCGTAGTTATAGCCCAGTGGTTCTCAACCTGTGGGTCGGGACCCCATTTGGGGTCGAACGGCCATTTCACGGGGGTCGCCAAACAACGCAGGCCGCCATTTCCCCCCCCCCCTTTTCCTTAGTTGTGCTACTCCCTTTTATTCTATTGGCTTTTGAAAGCCAATAGAATAGACTCTCTTGAATAGAGTCTAATTCTATTGGCTTTCCAAAGCCAATAGGAATTGTCCAGGCTGTCTCTGCCCTGCGGAGCCTGCCAAAAGTCCCATTCTGCAAACGGTGCTGCACCAGTTGAGTAGTCCTCGACTTATGACCGGTTGAGTAGTCCTCGACTTACGACCGGTTGGGGGTCGCGGCATTAAAAAAGTTGAGAACCACTGTTATAGACCCTTTCACAAGCCACAACATTTAATTATTATTTTCCAAGAATTGATGCTATAGCACCCCTTAAATTTTCAGCGGATGATCAAGAGCCCATGGACAGAAGCTGCGTTATAGATATATTGGATTCCAGTTTCAATCTCCAGAATGTCACAGGCAGGGCAAGAAACAATTGAGAATGAAACCCTGGAGGGCCCAGAAATAATTCTAACCAACCTGTCTAACAGGCTACAGGTTTGTAAAACAGTCTTCCCCAAACTGAAGTCCTTTGGAAGCGCTGAGGAAGAATTATTAATTACTCTCCAGAATTATCTGTGGAGATTCTCAGTCATCCAAGCCATAGTTGTCTCAAAAGTGCTTTTTTTTTTTCCCTTTTCCAAAGGCAACTGGACTGTTTTTTTCTTGAGGAAGAAGAAAATGTTTTGCTTCTCATCCAAGAAGCTTCATCAGTTCAGATAGCAGGGGGGATGGAAGGATAGGTACTGACAGTTGAAACTGGATGGTGGGGGATGGAAGGACAGGTGCTGATAGGATGGGGGGGTATGGAAAAATTGTATTTCTTTGCAGTCACCTGATCGTTAGCACTCTCTCTGAGAGCTGTGTGAGGAGGCCACTTGGGGGTGTATCTGTGCCCTCAGGATCACAGGGTGCAACTGGTTGTGGAATCTTCTTGGAACTGCAGCAAGGGTTGTGTTGCAGACTGGAGACAGATGGGGTCTTACTCCTCCCCCTCTGTTGAGGGAGGGGTGTTCAGTTCTAACAAAGATGGATTCTTTTACCCCTCCTTAATGTTTTCTTCTTCCTCCTCAAGGAAAAAACAGTCCAATTGCCTTTTTTTGGGGGGGAAGCACCTTTGAGACAGTCTCCAGAATTCTTTTGGCTGAGCTGATTGAAAAGGCAAGTAGATTCAGTCCCAATATACAGGTTGTCCTTGACTTATGACCACATTCGAGACCCCACCCATTTCCACTGAATTGGCTTATCAGAAGCCCTCTGGGAAGGTCGCAAATGGCGATCATACAATCCTGGGATGCTGCAACCGATGTAAATATATGCCAGGTGCGAGCGCCTGAATTTTCATCATGGGGATGCTGCAGTGATTGTTAAATGCAAGGAAAAAAGTCTAAGTCACTTTTTTCAATGCCTTTGTAACTTTGACTAATTGCTAGATGAATGGTGGTAAATTGAGAACTACCTGTACTCCGGGGAGGCAAGAGTATAGAAGGCTGGCATGAAAAACTTCGAGGAATTAAAGCAATTTAGCAGGAAGAGATAACATACAAGCTGATGGTGTTTTATGTCCTCATCATTTGCAGCCATCTGAATGCAGTAGAGAAATCCTTTATGAGGCCTTTCTTTGTTATTGAAAAGGGAAAGTAGAGCTGATTTTTGGACAGGTGTCGGATTCTCTTCCTGAAAATATGGCAGCGTGATGTTTAGGACCAGAACTGGGACACTGAAAAGCGGTGCTTAAATGTTTTTGTGCGAAAGTAGCATAAAGCCTTGAGTCTTTCAGATATTAAATTACGCATTTGGCAGTGAGGGCTTGTAGATCAGAAATCTGGAGAAGTCAAGACGTGAGTAACACTTGAAGTGCTCCAAGGGATACACACCTCTGCCGTGCCTCTTTTTTCTTAAGGAATGATCGTTGCCTTCCCTAGCTTTTCTGATGATTTCAGGAGCGGACTGCAATGATTGCGTTCATGTTGGGAAACTGCCAGTTAGGCTGTAAGGAGGGGTCAAGCAAGGGCCTAGCTTGGAGTCATTGCACAACCTCAAGTGGCCTAAGATTGAGCTCCCTCAAGATCCATGAAGTCTTAACTTGTCGTTCCCAGGGAAAGGCAAGCAGTCAGAGGAAAATTCCTATAAGATACTGTAGGTGGTAGACAATAAAGTAAATACCTATCCATGAGTGTCTTTGGTTGCCGGGGTCTGACATTTGAATACTTACGGCTGCCGTCAATGACTGTTGAGGTGGTTGGAAGAGAGATCTCCAGGAACTTGGGTGACACAATGGCCACGGGGGGCTGATTTACTCGAGGCTCTGCAGTGACAAAAGAAACATGACAGTTTCCCTAGGAACAAATTACAAGATACTTGTGACACGTGCCAACTCCTTTAGAAATCCACTTCATTCAATTGCAGCATAGCGGTAGAAATAAGAACTACAAAAACCCCAACTCCAGATTGTGCTTGCTAGACTACCTTAAGATGAACCCTCTGGAGCACAAAGACCCTTTCCTGTTCACTGTGCATGTGCTATTCTATCTTTAAAGGCTGTTGTAAGGATTAATCAAAGAATCTATTAAAGAGTCTGAATTATCTAGAAAGTTTTGTAAAATGTAAATTCATTTAGTGGCTATAGCAACTTTTCAGCTTCAAAATCCTCCAGTCAAAACTGCGTCCCGTTGCACTTGCCTAATACGGCCCCTCCCACTCCATGCACTGCTCTTCACGTTAGGTGGTCACGTGATCCATCCTAATACGGCCCCTCCCACTCCATGCACTGCTCTCCACGTTAGGTGGTCACGTGATCCATCCACCGGCAACACGCAGGAACAGCGCTGACGGTGCAGCTCGCCATTTCAACGGGGCTGACTGGAAGTTCCTGGTTTGTCTGTCGTCTCACTCGACGCCGGATATGGGGATACAAACGGGTAGGCATCACGCTGGGTCTGACATCACCATTGTAAGGATTAAGTTATTACTTATTAAATCCTCTTGTTTGCAAATTGGAAATCCACTTTCTATAAAACTAGCTGAAATCACAGCTTTTTTTCCACTGCTCTTGCATTTTTGTGGTGAGGTGAACAGTCCCCTGGACTGCAAGGCGATCAAACCGGTCAGTCCTAGAGGAGATCAACCCCGACTGCTCTTTAGAAGGCCAGATCCTGAAGTTGAAACTCAAGTACTTTGGCCACCTAATGAGAAGGACTCACTGGAGAAGGGCCTAATGCTGGGAAAGATTGAGGGCAATAGAAGAATGGGACGACAGAGAATGAGGTGGCTGGATGGAGTCACTGAAGCAGGAGGCGTGAACTTAAACGGACTCCAGAAGATGGTAGAGGACAGGAAGGCCTGGAGGGACGTTGTCCATGGGGTCACAATGGGTCGGACATAACTTCGCAACTAACAACAACAACGAACAGTCCTGCCATTAAGTTAGGACAGTATTACAACACTAAGAATTCTCTCCAGCTCCTGAACGAAGCTTCTAACATTCTTCAAAGAGTGGATAGGGAGGCAAGAGAGTCCTCAATTTGCTGCATATATTTAATATGCCCTCATATTCATATTTGTAGTATCCAGATGTTAAATTAGTTTCTAAGTACAAAATAGGGACATGGATAATTTGAACATAGTAGTCCTAAATTCTGGATTAGCAATATCAGCTGCCCGCTGCAATTCATTAGAGATACTCACTCTGGTTGCCCACATAGAAAGAATCATCTTTTTCAAGTAGAGCCATGCAAGCATTCTGATGGATAATAGGGAGTATTTAAAATAACAAGACAGAAGAAAAGCTCTATAGAGCTCCTGCAGCTCATAACCAAGGCAACACCATTTAATCAATGCTGTATTACCTAACTTAAAATAATTAGTGGAAAACAGTAAACACTTCCAGAAGCAGGCAGCCTTATTAGACTGCTGGTAAAAAAATAAATAAAAAAATCCTGTGGCATCCTAGCTAATTCATTTTCACATAAGCTTCATGCATCAAGCCCACTTCATCAGACAGATGGAACCAATCCCAGGAGAGAGATTCTCTTGAGTACATGCAAAGGAAGGGAATAAGAACCCCTAAAGGAATCAGGTCACAGAATGATTAGATACTGGTCATAATAAGATCTCAGAGTTGTGTATTTTGTCCCAAAGGGCACAAAATCCAGTATAATGTGAGTTTTGTGTTCTGAAAGTGGTGGCTGACTATAACTTGCCTTGTCAAGATTTAGCCTGTCTCTTGTCAAAGAATTACTTCACTGGATAATCCCGCGAGAGCAACTGCAGTTCAAGACAAGATTATAGTTTTTTCAGAGAGGCAGAAAGTGGTTTATATTTATTATTCATGCTCAAATAGGTCCCTGGGTATGATCTCACCTCACGAAGAAGCATTGCCAAAGAAATTATATAACAACCACCAACAGGAGCACTGCTGCTGTTCACACAAAGCACAGAAAGGGAAAAGAGGTGAAAGGAATGTGATAATGACACACTCCTTTTCCTCTCTCAAAACTGAGTCAGACGTTTTGCTTAGAAAATATTCAGGCCAGCGATGATTTGGGCCACCTACTTGCTTTCCAAATGTTTATGAAGACAGGAAACTATAAGAATAACATCTGGGAAGACAATGCAGGAGAGAAGGCGATTGATGCAATCCCTGAGCATACCTGGTTTAACCGTCACATTCACCATCCCTTCTCCGTGTGCATTATCACCATCTACTATCACGTTGAATTCGTATAGGCCAACTGTGAGCTGCCAAACAAAACGAGCAGGGATTGTTAAGGAAAAGGACAAGACTATCATGATATGTTTTTTAAAAAAAATCCATCATAAAGGATACCCGTGTTTCCCTGAAAATAAGACCAGGTCTTATTTTATTTTTTTGCCTCCAAAAGAGGCACCAGGTCTTATTTTCGGGGGATGTCTTACTCACCTCCGGCAGCGACAACCCCGCCCAGCAGGTCCACTTCTTCTGGGGCCAAAAGGAGCAACTGCATTCTGGCCTGCATTTCACAGTCAGGCCTTTCTGAAAAAGGCCTGTAACTAAGAAATGCAGGCCTGGCTGCAGAAGATGCCAGAGAAGAAGTGGGCTAGCAAAGAGAGGCCTGGCTGCAAGGTAAGCGGGTGTGGGGCACATGGGGCAGATCCACCTCCCCACCTCCACCCTGGCTTGATTTTTAGGTGTGTGCCTCGCCCCCAAACTAGGGCTTATCTTAGGCATAGGGCTTATATTAGGCCCACCCCCCAAAATCAAGCTAGGGCTTATTTCAGGGAAATACGGTATTGGCAGTGTATTTGAGGCAGGCCTTTTTATAACACTGTTTTTATAACACCAATTCTTCCACCATGATCTGTAGTCACCAAAAAGATGTTGCCACATGCTTAGGGAACTTTTAGGAGCCAAGGAAAAGTTCAGATAATACGGGATGAAAACATTGAAAAGCTTCAAACTGCTTTATATGCTGCTCCCACTGAACATGTTATTGTTTAAAAGCGTTCTTCACGTACACTAAACAAAAGTGATGCATGTTAAACTAGACTGCATCCTCATTCTGGAATTTTTACATTCTCACGATCCTTAAATCTGTTGCTCTTGCATTCCCGTTTCATACATTTAACCTCTTGCAAGTGGGACAATAGAGGGAGAGTATGACCAGGTAAACACTTGGACAGCAGTGCTTTTATTTGTTGCCACATCCATCTAAACCTTGTACAGTGACACTTTCAACCTCTAATTCTTTCTAGCAGACTCACCTTGGATAACTTGAGAATCTGTGAATGCTGTCCTTCCATCTCTCCACTATAATCCTTTGGGTGCGTAATCAATCTCCAATCATAGGAATAGCTACTTCCTAATGGAAGAAGATCAGAGATTAAGATAAAGACCTTAAATTTGCATGTCAAAAATTATTCAAAATGTAATGCCAATGTGGGACTTATGCAAAACAATGGTTTTCTTTAAGCTGCCATATTTATGTGAAGAAGTCTTGACTGCCAAAATAGATTTGGCCAGGCTTCTTAGCTTCATTTTCCATCTTCAACTTACATGCATTTACCAAACAAACTCACAAGGGCTACCAAATTCTGAACTGGATTGTTCAGCTTCTACCTTTAGGCGGTGGAGGTAGGACATATGCATTCAGTTCCACTTCATTCTTTGGTAGGGTCACCTGGACACTGTCTCCAGCAGAAACTGCCAATTTCTTCATAACTGTGGAAGAAAATTAACGTTCAGACACCGAGCAGAATTGGGGACAATTCACATTTTATATGTGTAAGGACCCACCTTACTTTGCATCTTAAGAAGACAGAACTCTTGGAATAATTCTTCCAACAGGTATCCTTTATTAAGAGAAAATGGTGGCAGGCGTTCTAGACGGGACTTGGGGTCCAAGCTCTCCCATTCAAGGTTTTAAGGGGTTCCCCAGTAGCCCCACCCAATCACCCCCCTTCTTCCAGCGACAGTCTCAGGCATTATACTCCCACCCCCTTTTCCTTACTGCTGGCTGGATGGAGACTTCAGAGAGAACTACATGAAAGGTAATAGCCCCATTGTTATGGTTAGTCCTTTTGGCGATATCCACATTCATTCTCTTTGAAGTGTACCAAAGGAAATGAAGGCCATAAAGCCCCTTTGTTCACCCCCTTCCCTTCGTCGTATGGCAGAATCCAGAGAAAGCAGAAATGGGGTTTTCTATAGTTGATAACTAGAGATGAAATATAATTGGATTCTGACAATATGTTTCATTATAATATGCGCAATAGGTTGTTTTCAAAGGGAAAACAGATGTTTCAGAGCGCACAGATGCTCATGTAGCACCTACTGGCAACTTCTTAAAGCAGCTGCATCTTTCCCTGAGACTAGTTACCTTCCCTTTGCAGCTGCACAAGAGAAAGGGAAATGGACTGTTTGCTTTAAAGAGCTGCCAACAAGTGCTATGCTTCTCCTTTGACATCTGAAATGCTACGGAGACTTCTGCAACAAATGATTAACAGACATAGTTTACAATGTACATAAGAATTATTGGATATTTGGGCAAGTATGTTCCGGTCGTCCCTGTCTTCAGGCATAGGTTTTATGAAGGAGCCTAAAATATCTTTCTGCTTTTATACAGCTAGAGCTTCTAGTTACAGATAACCTGTTTCAGAAACTGGTTATTAAATCAGAATTTGATACTGGACTGCTTGTTTTAAGCTTGCTACTCATTTAGAAAAATAAAATAGGTAGTAAAATAAAAGGCAATTATAGACAAATAACCATTAACCACAAAGTGATTCTGAATTAATATGCTGCAATATTCTGGAACTGTACATTATAATCTCAGGCTTGTAGATGATACCCATCTCTCAAAACTATGTTACTGTTCCACCCTAAGCTAATACTGAAAATAAGAAACTTTGCTCTTTTGGAGGAACTAGTTTGACACTGTGCCCTGAACTAACAAGAATAGCTACACTAGATACATTTCAGGAGAGAATATGACTTTTATTTCACAGACAAAGGAGAGGAAGGAATCTTGACTTATTCAAGGTGAACTGATTTATTTGTTTATTTAAAAGACTTGCATGACTGCTACTATTAGAGAATAACTTAGTGCAGTTCCAAACAATAAAACCACAAACAGAGTAAAACACATAAAAAGAAAACGAAAAAAAAGGGCACCTCAATCATCCTTCTGGGATGCTCTCCCCCAAAACCACCCACAGGTTCTCATCACTTTCTACCCCAGTGGCAGGAACTCAGACTTCTATAAATGTGCAAAGAGTCAGAATTCTGAGTTGGAAATTGAGGAGGATTTTAAAACCCAAGTATGTAGTCAGAGCTCACAGAACCATTAACTCTGTAGTATTTTGAATATTTGGGTATAGACAGCACTAAAGCTGATAATCAAATCTTGTTTCAATTTAAGGAAAGCAACACAACTGTCTTTAAATAGCTCCCTCCCAACAGCCAGATGAAGAACACAAACAACAGCCAACATTCACAAAGAAAAAAGAGCAAAACTTATTAATGAGAATACATCTGGATTTTAAGAAGTTCCTCAAATAAAACCAGGGCACCGTTCATATGCCTGAATACTGAATAAATTCGTGGAGAAAGAGTTAATCTTATTTTTTTTTCATTCAGTGTTTTTTAGTAGGCTAAAATGAGGATAGTGGTTGCGCACAAAAATTTTTAAAACATATAGGGTCAGTAGAGACTCAAACTAGAAAATAATCAAAATGGAGGCCCCCTTAATCACATGTCTGATACAATATCTGAATAATTTGTCTTCGGATCTAGTACAACATTATCAACAGAGCTTTGTCTGTTTATGAAGTAAGAGAACAAAAGTTTTTATAAAAGTATTAGGGGAAAAAAAGTTATCTTCCAAGTATTGTTGACAAAATCAGTGTTAAGAGAGTCCAGAATTTGGAACCTGGTCAAGAACATTTAAAGAAGGATGTATGGCATCTCCTCAGCCAAAGTTTGCTCTTACCTGGTGTTGGGGCAGGAGTACTAGGTACCATAGCAGGATTGGTCAGAACTGCAATAACACTGCCATTGATGGGTGTGCCAGTTGGAACAGGGAACACCTGTTGCACCTTCTCCAAATCCTTTCCTGGAAGACTATTAGAAGTTGGGATGGCTTTTTCTAAAGAGGCAGTCTGGATGGAAGCATTGTTGGATGGTCTGGTTTTCTCAGAGTTCCCAACAGGACTGGGGAAGATGGTTGCTGAAGAGGGATATGGTGTAGAAACTCCTGTAGGGGCCTAGAATTTATATGAGAGAGACAGAGAGTTTGCGAGAATAAATATCAATTACAATTTGTAATAAATAACCATTTCAGTTCTTAGTAAGTAACTTAATTCTCAGTTGTTATTTTAGAGGACTGCCTCCGTTCTGCTGCCCAGAAATTATATCCCATTCATGAATTACAGAGATAAATAACTGCCATTATGAAGTAAAATTATTCCTAAATATTCTTAGTTAATAAACATTTTGTTTATAAATCAGATTTCTAATAACATTTGTATTAAATCAAATTAAATGTAGAATACAGTACAGCTGTAATAGTATACTGTAGGAGTTGTAACAGAATTTGAATTTTATTTTTTAGGATTATAGCAAGGATTATAGAAATATTTGTACTTTTGTGCTAGAAAATACTTATTATTTCAGCATATGGCATACAGTATATGCAGAATATTTTCAAGGACAGAGTTATAAAACTGAGGATCACCACTGAGAAATCCTATTTAGAAGACCTGCCAGCCAGCCTAAGAGTGAATATTCAAATTGGGTATATGTTATATTATCATAGATGCAACATATTTCAAGAAATAGAGTTGAGCCAAGTGACTGTTGATTCTTACACAACAGGTGAGGTACATAAAATTGAACTGCTGTAGAGCACTGGTTCTCAATTGAGGCCCTAGGATTCTTAAAGGAAACTAAGTGTATTAGATTGCAAATACTATATTGCTGATATGAGAAAATGTAACAGTTATGTTCCATATCCGTATCCAGGCCCTGATGGGAGACATAGGAGAAAAAAGTCTGAGAAACATTATTTTACAGGATGGGGATCACTAGGATGATGATGATTAATGTTGGGATAGCAGAAGTATTGAGATTATGCTAGCTATCTAAAGCATGACAAATAAAATTTTATTTTCTATTCACTCAACATTTATCTTGCTTGGAAGCAGGATTTCCGTCTTCATGATCAAGAATTTGAGTGAGGGGTTTGTTTTAGTAATATATAATATTCTTTTACTCAGAAACTGATCAGACTGGTGTAAACAAATCTAAGGAACAGATGGAAACAATTTCCTTTCTTTCATCAGGAAATTCTTTCGCAGACCTTCCCCATTCCAATGGCTTGCCTGGAGCAGCAAGAACCGGACATTTCAGTTTTAACTGGGCTTATCTGTATAATTGCATATTTTCTTGATCCTTTTTATATAGCATCAGTCAAATTCTTAAACTGAAGTATCCAGAAACATCAATGATGTGGACCATAGTTATAAGGAAAAATGCAGCACATGTTATTGCGATAGAAGTAAGTTATTTATATTATTAAATGTGTGACTTGGGAAATTAGAAGATAAAAGTGATCACCTTTTGCGACCTTCTAACAAGCAAAGTCAATGGGGAAGCCAGATTCACTTAACAATTGTGTTACTAACTCAACAACTGTAGTGGTTCACTTAACAACTGTGAGAAGAAAGGTCACAAAATGGGGCAAAATTCACTTAACAAAAGTCTTGCTTAGCAACAGAAATTTTGGGTTCAATTGTGGTCATAATATTTGCCACTAGCTTTAATATAAATTTCCCTGAGCAAAAATGGGTTCTAATCTCTAAGATGCTGTTTATCCTTCCAATCTGTGCTACCCATCAGTCCCTTGGAGAAATCAAGAAATCATAGTGCACCCCTTGCATTTTAGGGGTTTGACTACTATTTTGTCAATTTTCATAAGATGGTTTCAACAGAAAACCAATCTTAATCTTTTTTTCAGTCAAGTCTATTAAAAAATTCCCAACAGGATTTTCTCTGTTTTTGTAAAGATGATGCACCTTCTCCTAGTTGGGACATCAGAAACGGTGCTGATAGTGCTTTGTTTTTGAAATATATTCCAACTGTTATTGTGTGAGAATTGCACCTGCTTCCCCCAGCACAAACTATCATCAAAGCAGAGAGAGAAAATAGCACCAGGAGGACAAGTTGGATAATCTCTGGTATGTCAACACAAGAGAACAAACACTTATATAGATCCAGGGCTAGTGACAGAAATAGTCTATTTGGTGAATTAAATACTCAAACTGCTTTTTTGCCATTTTTCTGTAGTTCCTTATCAAGATATAAAAAACCTTCTGTTGCTCCTATATGGGTTTGGGGTTGAAAACTATACCAGCATTATTTAAGAAACAGCAAATTCTGAATCAAAATAAAAGGGTATTTTATCCAACCGTGATTTAGATATAGTTGTACCTTTGTACTCATTGTTAATTGGTTCCAAAAGGTGCAATGAGTACCAAAAATGATGAGAACCAAACAGTTTTTTCTCATAAGGAATAATGTAGAAAGTGACAAGGAAGCCAACACCAAGACTGTGTGTTGAGTGAGTACCAGGACAAATTTTTTTTGCGTCAAAATACCAAATTCAATGAGTTTCAAAGCAATTGAGTACTTTGTCTGTACTGACAAAGTCACAGGCAGAGTTAACGTACAATAAATGGAAATATTACTTTTTATAAGAGTTTATTTTCTAGGAACTGTATTTTTCTAGCTCTCAAATTGCAGTATTTCATTACTGGCAAAACTCAGTTCCCTTCCTCTTAATTTCTCAGTATACCTTTTGGATAAACAGTGTTTCCTGTCCTTTGTCATATTATCAGAGGTTCAATGCACATCCTAACGTACCCAGAAAAAGACAAATGCAGTGTAAATATGGCTTTTAGGAAATAGAAAAGGAAAACATAGGATAAAATAGACTGTTTTTGTTGTCCCACAATATGAATGGAGTCAGAAAAAACTAGTCCATGGAGAATAGATGTGACTGCTGTAATAAATGTTAGGAATAAAGCTAAAGCTACTGTTTTTCTATCTTAGCAACCATAGAATTTTAATAGGTTGTTTCTGCAGTCCTCCTGCAGTAAAAACAGCAGATACTTTGATCAGCAAGCTATGCTTCACATTTCTCTTGTTGAATCAGTCTCTACTGTCAAGCTCACATACTGACATTTGGACTTATTTTATTAATCCTATTAGGTACTTAATTTTTTTGTTAATTAAACCAATGCAAGAACAATGTTTTTAAAAATAGCAGTGTGAAACAGGAAGTTGATATCTACAGACTCTCCTGCACTCTAAATTTATCTCTTGTAATACACTGTGAGGTTGCTTTTTCAATGTTTCTGTTGCAAGGGACTTTCACATCTCTCAAAATGTGACCCCTTCTGCCTCCCACCTCAAACTAATGTGTTTATTGCAACACTTTGGACATTAGTTGTATTAAGGCCAGGCAGAAGCTTTAATATCAGCATAACTAGCTGCACATATTAAAGGTCTCCCTCCTTTCTTAGGCTCATTATGTGAAGATTAGTATCTGTGGGAGTCCTTGGGATCTCTCCACCGATAACAGAATAATAATTTTAAATTTTCTTCATTTCTCTCTATTCACTATTTGCCCTTACTTAAATTACTGTAATCATTTATCAATCAATGCTGGTAACTAAAAATGAGAAACCCTTGCAGTTTTATTGGCAAAATTTCAGAAGTGGTTTGCCACTGCTTTCTTCCTAGGGCTGAGAGACAGAAACTGGCCCAAGTTTACTCAGTTGACTTTGTGCCTAGAGCAATATCAGAACTCACCAAAACTCTTCAGGTTTCTAGTCCACCAAACTCGCTCTCAAGAAAACATTACTGTTATATGTATATCGTTGTTTTTTAAAAAATATACATATTATTTTCTTCTGCCCCATTCTTTAGAATTACATTTCTTCTTCTACCACCCCTACAATGGTAAGATGCTCAGTTTCAGGCCAGCAGCTTCTACAGCAGCAGCGTAAAGTACAATGAGGAAAAGCAGGAACAGAAAGGTTTTAATAATCCCTCAAGCACTTTTGAAAATGCTCTTTCCTGGCAACAGATCTAATTAACAGCACAAGACACTTTTTTTTCAGGCTTATTGGAGCAATGAATTGGAGAATTTTTCCTAGAACATAAAAATGGCAGAACATTGTGCTGTAAGGCCTCACTTTTAAGTTACCCTGAGAAGCAAAACAGCAAACTTGGAACACACTTGAAAAGTCAGGATCACAATTGAATCTTACATAAGAATAAGAAAGGCTGATTTCCACATTTTCACATTATAAAGGCTTTTGCTTCTGAAAACCTTGCATTCCTTGAAAGCCCAGCTTTTAATAAATTCGAAAGTGATAAAAATTTGCTATTAAAAAGGCATTAATGAGTCTTTGCCAGAGTATCTTATGAACATGGGTTGGAACAGCAGCAAAATGTCATTATCAGAATATCGAGAGAAAAGTGATAATTTATTTATTTATTTTATTTATGAGACTTATATACCGCTTTAAGTGCAACGGAGGGATAGCAAGGAGAGCTAAGACAAAGCAATGCCATGTAGCTGTTTCCCATAGGAAATGGGCCATTTCCAAATTTCCTGAAAAGTCCTTTGGCTCCGGTCTATATCCTGTTCTGCAAGGTTAGCCGTTCTCTTGTCCCAGCTGCAATGTGACCAAAGCCTGTCAATACTGCACCCAGCTATATGGGAATATCAGATTTCACGAATTACATTCTTTTTGCAATAGGTGAGGTTAAACAGGATATGACTCTGATCCTACTGGACTTCTCCATAGTTGCAAAAACCTGGCTTTTTTGTCACGCCCTGGGGTAGGAAGGAGAAGTCTGCTCCTCAAAGGGAGTTTTTGGTAAGGAATACCTCTGAATATTCTCCCCGTGTGCTGTGGACTGTTTTGATTTTGTCTGTTGTTGGCTGTTACTGATCTGATATTTTCATGCTATGGTATAAGCCATCTAGAGTCATCCTCCGATTGAGGCCACACAAGTTGACAAAAAGTAAATTTATTTCCCAATTCAGGAAACTTTTAGTGAAAGCTTTACTATGGAATGGTTAATACCAATACAATGGCAGAGTATTGCACACGTAATTTACAATAAAAAGCTATATTTTGACACAATCTGTTTCAGTAACAACTATCTGCAACATTTGAAGCAATATGCCAACCAATGGAAACATATTTATAGCTTTTAATAGTTCTGTTTGCTATTTTTGCTGTGTGAAGAGACCTGTTGATAAGCAACAAGCTTTATTCTCAACCTTGCAGCTGCAGAGGAGAATGGAGAGCGTTCCGATGGCTGCAAATTGATCCGTACTTTCTCTTTACCCTAGAGTTGAAACTAAAGCTGGCAAATGTGTAGCCAAGAGTCTGGGTTAGGGTCAGCCTTCATTTTAGAGCAGTGGTTCTCAACCTTTTTAATGCTGCGACCCCCAACCGGTCGTAAGTTGAGGACTACTCAACCGGTTGTAAGTCGAGGATTACTCAACTGGTGCAGCACCGTTTGCAGAATGGGACTTTTGGCGGGCTCAGCAGGGCAGAGACAGCCTGGACAATTCCTATTGGCTTTTGAAAGCCAATAGAATTAGACTCTATTCAAGAGAGTTTATTCTATTGGCTTTCAAAAGCCAATAGAATAAAAGGGAGTAGCACAGCTAAGGAAAAGAGGAAAAAAAATGGCGGACTGCGTTGTTTGGCGACCCCCGTGAAATGGTTGTTCGTCCCCAAATGGGGTCCCGACCCACAGGTTGAGAACCACTGTTTTAGAGAGACGTTGGGTCAAACCAACCCACCTTCCCTACTTCAGGATTTGCTTAGATACAGGTATGTATGATTTACCCAGGTTTGATGGTTAAAAGAATACAGATGCTACTCTAATATAAAAGTCTACTATTAGAAGCAAACAATCCCCTATACCTAGATAGATCAACAGAATATGGATTAATTTTTAAAGTCAAATGAACTAGTTGGGTAACAGTCAAGGCAGAGCGACAACAAGAGAACGAGGTCATAGAAATTCTGCACTGCTATTGGATTGAGCAGCATTACTGCTTTTCCAGGGATTCACTTACCTCCAAAGAGTCACTCCCATCAAGGTCATGCTGTCTGCTAATGTTATCACTGTTGGAAGAAGATGGGCTTTGGAGTTTCAGTTCTTCTGAACCCTTATCATTTGGCAGGAGGATTTTCTCTACTTTGCTAAGGTTTCCTGAAAGGTCTGCTTCCGATCTTGAAGACGGTGGTTCTTTAAGATCCTTGTGAGTAGGTAGTCTATCCAAGTCTTCTGATGGAACTGGATGGTTTATAGAACTTCCAACGGTGGAGTCCACGTCTCGCTTTAGAGAATTTCCCCTGACTTTTCCTAAGTGCAGTGCGTGAGCAGGCAGCTCTTTGAAGGACCTCTGTATCCTTGACTTACTCTGATGTCTCTCCCTCCAGTTCAACCATTTGGGAAGATGGGCTTGCCTCTCTTTGGCAGGTTGGGAATCTACATCAAGATCAGATTTTGTTACAAAGACCATGATGGGCTCCACCGTGTCAGTTCTGATCTCCTGACACTTGTGAGACTTGGTACAGTTCACCTGGATGCAGATAGTCCCCATGAGCCAAAATGCACCGCAGGCTGGGGTTTGACAACAAGCAGCTTGACAAGAGTGGATAGAATGCAGTCCTTCTAGCAGCTGAAGTTGGACACCGTCTGATGACCTCAAACTGCTCTGTTCCAAAGGCTTTCCAGACTGGCAAGCACTTCTGCTCCAGCTTCCATCTGTGCAAAGAGAAGTAAAATTACAATCATTTTAAAGAAGCAGTAAAAACAAAGGCAAAATGATCACCAGTGGTTGGTTTTCTCACCCGTACAGCAACAACAAAAATCAATCAGTTCCCTTTTTCTTATCCAGAAACATGGTTGTTGTTGCCATCATTATATTTTCATCCCACCTTTTAATATATTTTTGGTCAACTCAAGGTGGAGAACATACCTGCCTCTTACTTTTCCCACAACAGCAACCCTCTGAGTTGGGTTGGGCTGAGAGGTGACTGGCCCAGTTGCCCAATAAACTCACAGTCTTCTCATTTTGAGGCCAGCAATTTAACACTATACCAAATATACTCTCTTATATTGAAATGTTTATGTTTAAAACAAGAGGGAGGGAAAGGAAGCAGAATACCAGCTGCTCAATGAAAAATGGCAAAATGCTAAGAGATAACAAAGAAAAGGCAGTACTATTCTTGAACATGCTATTATGGAGTCAGAACACCAACACCCACTAATAAGTCTGCTGCCCTAAATCTCATACTTTGTTATGAAGTCGGGCTACCTTATCTGTCAAATAAATAAATAATCAATAAATCAATCTTGCCTAATTGAATTTTTCCAATAGAAAAAAAAGATTCCAGAAAGTTTATTCACTTGCTTTATTCCTGAAGCTGCAGCATACTGCCTCTCAACATACCTCGTGCTTGCTGTAAGTCACGAAAATATTGTCAAATGTATTACACTAATTATTGCAAATCTACTGAGGTATATAAGCTTATTTAGTTCCAAAATAAAACAATATATCACTAGAATTATAATTAGTTCCTTTCTGAACCAAAAAATGTTGCTGCTGCCATTTTGCATGAGGTGATAAATTCAATCTATTTAGTGACAAATAAAATATCTCTTCATTGATTAGGATTTTGTATCAGTGACAAAAATATGCTTCTTTTTCCCCATTACATTAAAAAATGATGAGCTCACACATGCATATTTTAGATTCAGTAAGTACAGCTTATTTATTTGACAGAATATTGCTTTTTCTCACTGCGCCAGGATATTAAGAGGACTAGAATCCAAGAATAAAAACTAAACATAACCCTCCTACTCTTCAATATGAATCAATGGTGGCATTTCATTGTGCTACATGATGTTAAATGATAAGTAGAAAGAAAGGCAAGTAATCTAGGGAACTCTGACTAAACAGGGCTGTTTTGAAATTCTAATCTAGGCTCGATCAGAAGGCTCCTTATCTTCATGCCATAGCAGGTTTTTTTTTTCGCAAGACCTCTAGAGTCTAGAGCAGGGGTAGGCAACCTTGGCTCTTTTATGACTTGTGGACTTCAACTCCCAGAATTCCTGAGCCAGCCATGCTGAGGGGAAAGGGAGAGGTTTCCAAGCTGAGCCATGCTGGCTCAGGAATTCTGGGAGTTGAAGTCCACGAGTCATAAAAGAGCCAGGTTGCCTACCCCTGGTCTAGAGCAGGGCTTTTCAGGCTTTTCACCCATTGTACCACTTTTAGGATAGGACAATATCCGAGTACCACCAGTCGCCTAGCAAGGTGTCAAAAACTTGATGACCAAAAAAAAAAGGAAACAAGTGATGAAGTACAAGTAGTCCTCAACTTACAACAGTTTGCTTAGTGACTGTTCGAAGTTACAATTGCACTGAAAAAAGTGCCCCCCATGCCACAGCCGAGCAAGACACCTGCCTGCCCACCAGGCCGTGCTCTTCCTCCTGTCCGAGGTTTTCATTGTTGTGAGCATTTCTGTTGAGGATTGGCAGCAGGGGTGGGGTGGGGGTGTTTAGTTTTTATTCCCCCCCCCCCGTCTGCTGGCTGGTTGTAGCAGGTTTTGGTCACTTCACATGGCCCTGGGACACTGTGACCATCATAAATATGAATCAGTTGCCAATTTACTGAATGTAAATCACAAGACCCTGGGGATGCTGCAACATTCCAGCTGATTGGTGCTTCTTCTGGGCTCAGCAGAAGCACCAGGATCAGCGCCGAGCTCCAGCTGGAGCCTGGCGCTGATCCTGGCGCTTCCGCTGAGCCCTGATAGCCCTGCAGCTCCAGCCATCTCTCGTTCAGGCTTGTGCAATGTTGCCACCGGTTCAGCTCATTCCCCTCCCCCGCTACTTTTCTAGGATGGTCGCATACCACCTGCCAGGTACCAATGTACCACAGGTGGTACCCGTACCACTGGTTGAAAAGTCCTGGTCTAGACAATGATTAAAAGGTCATTTTGTCCCAGGTCAGAAATACTAACAACTAATTCACCTATATTCAACTGCTTTTAGGATTCTGACTGCACTACCATAATCTAGTAATCAGATAATGATTCAGCATCATAATAACACAACAACACATGTAATAGGTAATTAACAGGGCCCATATTTCTGAACTCTAGAAGAATGAGGGACATTAATAAACAAATTTAGGTCTGTTTCCCTGTTTCCGTAAGTGCACAGTCAAATAATTTGATGGAAAAGAATATCTGATTTCTCAAGAGAACTGATCTCTTGTTCCCAACCCTGTGGAGTGACAGTGCTGTAACATTTTCTACCTCACCAACTTAATCTATTGGCAAGTGTCCTTTTGTACTGTGCTTCCATTTTATCACAAATAATACCAAGAGTTTTTGCAACACTATCCTCCAGAGACATTATTGGATGTATCTCCTTTGAGCTGAAAAGATGGGAGAAGCTCCTCTCTGTGCATATTTGAATATAAACTGATGAAAAAGTAAAACAGCAAAAGTGCTTCACATCTTCACCCACAAATACTTGACTGCCTGGAACACCTTAAAGTGACCTCACTGTTTCCCAGCATCATGTGGCATTTGTATCAACTAGAGCCACTTATTTTCCTGACAAACATCCATGCTCTTGCATGCTGGACCGTGAAACTTGGTATTAAATTTTAGTATTTAATCTTCTATGTAGAATATATAACTATGCTATTACAATATATACAACTATTGAAGAAAAAAACTTAAGCAATATGAATTTTGAGCTGGCATGTATCCAACTGTCATGACACACCATGTCGAATTAATTAGCTTACTAATCAGAAAGTCATAAGATACTTTGTCAAACTGAAATCTAAATTGTATTACATCTATGGCGTTACAATAACTAACCCCCAAAAAGGTGTTAGCGTCATAAGATTTTGTCTTGACAAATGCAGGCTGATTTCTGGTAATTAATGCATTGTTTCTAGTGCCTGGTATATAGTTCTTAGGATTTTCCTTTCAGGGATACAGATAATATTTGCCTTTTCGTAGTCCCCTGATACTGTTTTCCAGAATTATTCAAAGAATAACATACATAAAAGTTTGGCAAGTTTCTTACTCCCTCTCAATTATTAAATTAGTTAATTAGGCCCTGGAGATTTAAACCCAAAGGAAATAGATATACTTTAACAAGGATTCTGTTAGTCTCAATTAAGGATCTGGCCCTGAATCCTGTTTTTTACAATTACATAACCTCTTCTAGAAAAACAAGCAAGAAGAGGAATTGAGCAGTTCCACTTTTTCTTTCTTATCTTTTAGCATTTTTCCATTTTCACTAAGCAGCTGGTCTATGCGCCTTTCTCTTCCACTTCCATAAAATTTTGACCACAAAGGTATTTTGGTTGTTTTTCCCCTCCTTTGTTAAACTCAGCTGACTCTGCATTCTAGCTTTTGTAGCACCTTCTCTACAATTTAAGATATCTTCATCTGTCATGCTTACTTCCTGCATATAACTAACTCTTTTATTTGCAGATCAGTGCTAATTTTTTCATTGATCTATATTTCCTCCACCCACTCGCCACCCACCCACCCCATCCCTGTTTTTGCCACAGTGGAATTGGGCTTAAGGATTTCCTATTCAAATGATATACTAAATTATATTTGGCTTCATTTGAAATTCGAACATTCCAGCGTTACATAAACAATATTCTCTAGTGTTCGTGCCACTTTTCCTCACTTAAATCTTCCCTAATGAATAAAATGCATAGAAGGAAGTTATAAGACAAGTCAGGAACTGGATCAGTGGGCAACCTATAAATGTTGGCAGTATATAATGAATTTTCTAGAAGGTCTGTCTGTGGCAGGTCTGTATAGTTTTCTCTAATACTACCAGGGTAATAAAAATTCCCCATCAGTACTGCTTCATGTCTCCTTGAAAGATTTAGTTTAGAAAGCATCCTTCATCCTGGTTGTGCAAGCAATAGTCGATAACAACAGCCACATATTTTAATACAGTGATTTATACATTTTAGCAAGTTCATTCATTGAATCTTTGGGGAAGCGTAGATATTTTAATGCACAGTGCAATTTCACCTCCCTTTCCATTGCTTTCGTTCTTTTTAACAGCTGTATCCGCCAACTGCTGTATTAAACAAGCGCTTTCATTGCTATGAAATCATATTTGCTTTCCTGTACTCGGAGTTCAAGCTCATCCTGCTTATTTCTTGTATTCCGAATGTACAGAAAACAAAGGTGTGAAGCTTGTGAGTCAATGTTATTCCTGATTTTTTTTACTGAGTTAAGTAGGTCATTTAAAAAAAAAAGCATACCCACTTTCCTCTATAGAGTGTAAGGCTTTATCTGAGTTCCTTACATCACTATTTTCTTTTTCATAACACCACAGAATTCAGCTTAATGCCCTCTTGATTAAGTCAAATATATTTTTATCAGTCCTGTGAAATGGAACTCATCTTGTACTAGCAGTCCATCAGGTGTCAGGCTCAAGGAACCAGAATGTGAGATGATCAAAAGTTATCACTTTATGGTTGCAATGTCCATTTACAAGAATCTCACCAGACTATCTGCATTCTCTTGGGAACAATCAGATAAGGCTTCGGGGTAAAGCCTGCTATGCTGATGCTTTCTGTGAAGTATGGACTCTAAGGTCAACCTCCTTTTCATACCTCCTCCCTCTCTAGCTAGAGATTCCACCATATCAGAAATTCTTCGGACCACAGTCCAGAAGTCAATCATCTTCCACTAACATCATTTGAA